CAGGACTTGGTCACTGTCACTGTCCTCCCGTTGTTCATCGATTTGCTTGACACCAGTAACGTCTCCATTTTGTGAGACTTGTTGTTACTGTTTTTGGCATATCGAATACCCCACACGGAGCTTGCCAGGCTCTGCCGTGTGGGCGGGATACCCTCGGTAGCTTGCCAGGCTCTCTGAGGGGCGAAGAAATCGAACCCGGGTCGGCTGTGTGAAAGGTAAATGCCCTACCCGCTGTGCCATCACTCCAGCCCTCAGGGCTCGGTATGTATGTGTGTTTAAATTTAGACACCATGCTTTGTAAAATTGTTTACAAGAGGGTTTCAGGTATACAATATTTCCAACTCTAGTTTCCCATCCTATGCCCCATCATCCCTCCACCCATGACCCCAGGCTCCCTCTCACCCCAACCTAACTCCTTGATATATATATATACATATATATATATTGGGGTGACACCCAGCATTGCACAGGGGTTCCTCCTGGCTCATGCACTCAGGAATTACTCCTGGCAGTGCTCCGGAAACCAGATGGGATGATGCTGGGAATCGAACCGGGGTCAGCTGTGTGCAAGGCAAACGCCCTCCCCGCTGTGCTATCGCCCCAGCCCCTTGATAGATATTTTAAAATGTAATTATTATAGTTTGGGTTCTATGCTTACAACAGTGATGGGGCTAGTTAGATATATACAGATACCCATCTCCACATCCCAGACCCCAAGGCCCCTCTGACACTTGCCCTTGTGTTACCTCCAGATCTTCTCACTCCTCCTTGCATTTCTCTTCCTTAGCATTTTTCTTTGATAATGTATGTTTCTTGGGCTGGAGCGATAGCACAGCGGTAGGGTGTTTGCCTTGCACGCAGCCAGCCCAGCCCAGCCGGGTTCGATTCCTCCGCCCCCCTCGGAGAGCCCAGCAAACTACCCAAAGTATCTTGCCTGCACGGCGAAGCCTGGCAAGTTACCCATGACGTATTCAATATGCCAAACACAAACAAGTCCCAAAATGGAGACATTACTGGGCCCGTTTGAGCAAATCGATGAACAGTGGGAGGACAGTGACAGTGACAGTGAATGTATGTTTCTTAAAAACTGTCATTAAGTCTAATGATATTGTTTTCCTTTATTCTGTATATATATGTACATATAGATATTATACATATATATATATTTTTTTGAGCTGTGCTTGGAGATTACTCCTGGCAGGGCTTGGGGACCAAATGTGGTACCAAGCACTGAACCTGGGTCATCCACATGCAAGGCAAGTGCCCTGCCCACTGTACTATCTCTCTGGCCCCTAGACATATTCTTCCATGTACACAAAATACTTTATCAATATAATTAAAAATTAATTTTTGTAGGGAACGATCGGTTTGAGGCTCTTCATGTTCCCGGAGCGAACAGATGCCATTGGGCTACACTAGCACGCGACAGGGACAAATGGAGACGTTACTGGCGCCCGCTCGAGCAAATCGACGACTAACGGGAAGTTAAGTGAATTTTTGTAGGACTGGTCATGTGTGACCATCTCTGTATTGGGCTTTAGGAACATAAGGTTGCAAATATACAAGGAATCCACAAGTGGCTTATAGTAGGAAGCAGCCTGTAAACAGGAATGTGCTATATTTTCCCAAGTGGGGGTCACTGAGGGACGGGGTCAGTCCATGGAGGAGATGAACTCTGTGCTGATGAAAGCAGGGTCTCCTTCCGCGGGGTGTGGTTGTAAAACTGGGGTGCAGGACTCCTAAAACGGATGGGAGATGGAAAACAAGGTGGGACTGGATGGGGAAGACCCTGCTTGGAACACCGATGGCCGATACTTCTGGTTCCAACAGGTCACAGGTGGGGCCGGAGCGACAGCACAGCGGGTAGGGCATTTGCCTTGCACGCGGCCGACCTGGGTTCGATTCCCGGCATCCCATATGGTCCCCCGAGCACCGCCAGGAGTGATTCCTGAGTGCAGAGCCAGGAATAACCCCTGAGCATCGCTGGGTGTGACCCAAAAAAAGCAAAAAAAAAAAAAACAAAAACAAACAAACAAACAGGTCACAGGCGACCTCCACGGTTCTGAGAATGAGTGAGCCTGGCGTCATCTCACTGAATACTGACACCCAAGTGCCTGTCTGCTGTTATTTGGTCTGATGAGGGACTCAAACTTATTCAGGGCCATCAGTTTCTGCAAGGGTGAGGGGAGGTGGGACATGTGTGGGGTGATGAAGGGTGCAATACAGAAGGGACTAGGATGCTGAGTACCACGCAGAGACTAAAGGGAGAACTAGGCTTTGGGGTGAGAGAGAGAGCATAGTGGGTGAAGTGCTTGTCTTGCACGCATCAACCCGGGTTGGATCCCCGGCATCCCATATGGTCCCCTGAGGGCAGAGCCAGGAGTAAGGCCGAATCTGGCAGTGTTCAGGGGCTTACTCCTGGCTCTACGCTCAGAAATCACTCCTGACAGTGCTCAGGGAACCATCTGGGATGCCGGGGATTGAACCTGGGTTGGCTGTGAGCAAGGCAGGCACCTTACCCTCTGTACCATCTCTCCATCCCCAAGCGAAGGAGTTCTTGACTCCTCCAGAAGGCCTAGTTGGAAAGCACAGTCTGCTCATGGAAAGACGTAGCAGGCAACGAAGAAGGTTCAGAAAGAAGAAGTGTTGAAGGGGCTGGAGCGATAGGACAGTGGGGGGCCCTTGCCTTGCACGCAACTGGGCTTCAATCCCTGTCACCCTATATGATGCCCTGAGCAATGCCAGGAGTAACTCCTGAGCATCGCCAGGCGTGGCACCAAAATACAACAGAAAAGGAGGTGTTGGAGTTGAAAGGTCTGAGGAAGAACAGGGGCTTCACGGTGGAAGAGAGCGTGAAGCGGGTTTGGGGAGGTGAAAACCTGGGCTGGGAAGAGAGGGAGCGGAGTGGGAGTGATGGACACACACCTTTGAGAGACGGGCACACGCCTCTGCTCTGACCCGTCCGTGCCCTGCCTGACAGCTCTGCATCAAAGGCCTGACCATGTGTTCCTCCGCTGGTGTCTGGGGCTCCCGTGTGGGCGTGTGAGACTAGGCAGGGGGACGGGGTGGGAGCAGGGCCTATTTCCGGCTCCCCGGCTCCTCTTTTGCACCGGGGGTCCCTCTTTGAGAAGCCAGGATGTCTGGGTTCCAGATTTTTCCTTCCCCAACCTCCTGCAGACATAAATCACAAGTGATTTTATTAAATGCGCCTCCTGCTGGGACTGTTGGCTCATAATTCCTCTCTGATTAACCCCCACTACCCCGGCCAGTTTATAGGCCAGGAGAGGGAGGGGGCCGGGGGAGGGGAAGAGGAGGATTGGGGGAATCCCGGCGGCTGATGGATGCCTCTGTCAGCCCAGCTCGTATTCATTAATAGTCTTAATACGGGAAGCAATAAAGGAAGAGAGGGATTCTATTAATTAAATCATTGTTATAATTAACTTTCATTAAAGGAGGATCAATAAAGAGGAGTTGAGAGGGAGAGAGGAGAGATCCATTATCTCTAATTTCCTTGGAAGGGATTCAGGGATGAGATGGGGTTGCTAGGAGACAGGGAGTGAGGGAAGGAGGAAGGATGTGAGATGTCATCCAGGTGGGGCTGGAAGCGGGTGGCGGAGGAGGGGAGGGCACAGTGGGGGCGGCCCACTCTGGTGCGCTGGAGGGAATGCAGAGTGGCTGGAACTGCAGCAGGGATGGGCCCGGCAGCGAGCCCTGAGGGCTCCATCTGCTCCCAGGTCCTCCATAAACGCTTTACGACGCTGTACGTCTAGACTGGGAAGCTGGTTGGAGAAGGTGACTGAGTTCGGTGACTTGTGTGTGTGCGTGTGTGTGTGTGTGTGTGTGTGTGTGTGTGTGTGTGTGTGTACAGCAAGAGACAGGAAGGCGTGGGGAGATTACCTGTGAATTGTTTCACTTAGTTTTTTGGTGAGGTGCTCGAGACCGTGTAGGGCTTAATCACTTGGCTTTGCATTCAGCAGGCCTGATTGATCCCTGGGACTGCGTACAGTCCACCAAGCACCACCTGGAATACAGTCTGAGCACAGCAGAGTATGGTCCCCTAACAAAACCCAGTTTCTTGTGGGCATGGACATGCTTAAGGCAAGTGCTCTATTCTGCGCCTCGTTCCTGGCCCTTCAGCCTTCATTTCTAGGGGAAGGGTACACCCGGCAGAGCTGAGGGATCACTCCCTGATGAGGCGTGGGGGGCGGGGGGCATCTGTGATGCTAGGGATCGAACTTGCTGACTGTGTGCAAGGCAAGTGCCTTTCGAACTGTGGTCTCTCTCATCCCTCAAATGGTCTTTCTAAGCACAGAGGTTCAGCGTGTGCCTCATTAGTGGGCACTCAAAGGTATGCCCTGTGGGGCTGGAGTGATAGCACAGCGGGTAGGGTGCTTGCCTTGCATGTGGCCGACCTGGGTTTAATCCCCGGCATCTCATATGGTTCCCCGAGCACCGCCAGGAGTAATTCCTGAACGCAGAGCCAGGAATAACCCCTGAGCATCACTGGGTGTGACCCAAAAAGCAAAAAAAAGGTATGCCCCGTGAATTGGGATGGAATCCTGGGTGTCACACACCCTGTTGGTTCACCCTTGGTAGGAGTCTGGTCCATCCCGTGGGCCAGGGTAAGGTGATGGTTGACCTGGTGGGTGAACGGTCTGAGCTGTGGGTACTCAACCTGCCTCCTGAGACACGCACCGTGACTCTGGGCCCCAGATCCCACCTTGGAACTCAGGCCTGAGCAGGGCAGATGGAGTCTATGACCCCTCCCCTCACAAAGCAGTGTTCCCCAAACCGGACCCCTCCCCCAGATGCAGTTCCCTCTCCCCCTCACCCCAAGGCTGGCACCCCAGGGTGCGTGACGGGGGCGGGGTCAGGGCAATACTGCCCGCAGCGACCGCCCTCTCCTGGGTCTAAGAGCCACGTGTCGGCACCACCCTGGCCTCTCTCTAGTCACGCATCATGATAAGAACACATTTTATTAGAATCGTTATACATATTATATAAATATATTTGTCCAAACTACAGGCGCAGGGCACGGGAGAGGGGCTGAAGGAAGCTCTTATTGCTGTGGGGGGGTCTGGACAAGGGAGGCCGGGCTGGGAAACGGGGACACCTGGGGCCATGTTCCCCCATCCCTCACAGAAGGCACAAATGCATTATTTCTTTCCATGTGAGGATCCTGGGGGCGGGGGATGGCAGGGAGGGAGAGAGCGCATGAAACCTCCAAAAATACAAAAGGAACTTCCAAACTTAATATCTAACGGGATGGAGACGGCTGGGGCGGGTGCGGAAGGCAGTGGGAGAACAGGACGGAACCAGTGACGCTCAGAACCGAAGAGACCTGGAAAGGTCGTGACATCCATGCTGCTGCCTCAACGCAGACCCCAGGAAAAGGCAGGTAAACAAATACAGACCCCAAGTAAGAGGGTGGGGGCCCCCAGGAGTTGGCATCGGGCACCGGAGGGAGTGTGTGAGGATGCGAGTGTGTGTGGCGCCGGTGAGCGGAGGCTGATGAGTCACCAGGCAACCAGGGCTCAGGGAGGCTCCGATTCCCAGGAGACCAGGAGCCGCCTCCAGCCCGGATCTGTCCAAACCGCTTTCCGCTTTCGGAGAGAAAATTCAGCCACTGCTTGCAAGAGGGTCCCTGCCTGGGCCAAAGGGCCGGGCGGGACAGGATGAAGTTGGGGCTGGGGAAGGACCCAGCCCATGGGAGTTTCTGGGCAATGGAGCATCGTGGAGCCGGGGGGATGGAGATGGGCATGAGACCTACATGGATGTCTGTGTGTGTGTGTGTGTGTGTGATGTGTGCGCGTGCGTGTGTGTGCGCATACGTGTGCATGTGCGGAAGAGTGGACTCGGGAGGGGCGAGGTCACTCAAAGGTGAAGGGGTCCTGGGTGCTGAAGAAGAAGTGTCCATCCATGTGGTCCTCCAGGGCATCCTTGTCACTGTCAGCTGGGAAGCGCTCCTTACAGATCGGGCACTCCTTCCAGGGAGGGGTGGCCGGCCCGCCGGTGCTGGGCTCTGCCAAGGGACCCACTGCAAAGCCGCTACCGAGAGAGGGGACGCAAAAGAGCCGCTCAGCGTGTTCTCCTCTCAGGCTGCAGAGAAAGGAAGCCGGCGGCCGGCTCCCAGAGGCCTCTGCGCTGCCCCGGCCCCCTCAGCACCGCAGGGGGGCCACTCTCTCCTCTCTGCCTCCGCCCCTGCTGGCCTCTGGCTGCAGCGCGCAGCCCATCCCCCACCCGCCCGCCCGCTCTCCTCCCTCCATCTCCGTCTGCTGCCTAATGAGGCTGAAAATGAGTCTGACACCGTCCTTCATCTTCCTGCTGCAGCCCAGGAGGATGACAGTGTCGCCCGCCCCTCCCGGAGCCCCGAGCCCGTGGCACATCTCATCCAGGAAGGGCTGGGGGTGAGGGGAGGAAGGGCTCGCTAGCCCGGGGAAAACACAGGCCGGCAGAGGGGCCAGTCTGACGTTCAGCCCCTCCCATCCCCCCCTCTAAAGTGTCACCGCCCTGAGGGTCCCCAGAGGACAAGGACAGTGAAGAAGAGTGGCCCCATCAGAGGTTCCCAACCCGACCCGACCAACCACCCCCTTCCAGAGAACATTACTCAGGTCCCGCCCCCTGCCCAGAAATCGACCTTATTTAAGTGGCTGAAGAGAAAGCACCCCCACCTGCGCCTGAAGCCTTTATGTCCCCCCAGATCACACCAGTGCCCCCAGGGGGTAACGCACACTGTGGGGAACACTGGGGCGCTGGGCCCTTGGCAGCTCCGTGCCTGTCCCGGGCCTGGTACCTCCCCTAATCACCCAAGGGAGCTGGCACCTACCTGGCGGCTGGGGAGGGGGGAGGGGCAGGTGAGAGGGGGTGCAGGGCAGTTTGGGCTCCACGGAAGATGGTGCTAGAACAACACAGAAGCCAGTTACAGGCAGGGCCTCTGGGTGCTCGTGTGCAGTGGGGACAGGGAGGACGGCCTGAAGGAACCCAGGGGCTGGGTGACGGCTCTCGTGCTGGGCTGACCCGCATCTCCCTCTCCTTCCCTTGGCCGAGGCCAGGGCACAGACACCGGCTCTGGGGACAGCGGCTCCCGAGGGCGCTGCCCCCGCCTGCCACTCACCTGGCCATGTCGTAGAAGGCGCTGCCCAGCTCGGGCAGCAGCAGGTTGGCCTCCTCACCGCCACTCTGCACCGCGGCCATCAGGACCGACTTCTCATCCTCGGCCTCCTGGGCAACACAGAGGCAGGGCTGGGTGCTGGCTGGGGTCTCAGGAGGGGGGAGCAGGGCATCGAGGCCAGGGCAGGGGGCAGAGGGACAGAGGGAGGAAGAGGGGGGTGGTGGCAGAGGGGTTGCGGGGGCGGGAGTGAAGAGGACAGTCAGCGGGGGCCAGGGCAAGAGCGAGAGCAGGGGAGGTGCTTTGGATGCGGCGACCCGGGTTCAATCCCAGGCACCCCACGTGGTCCCCCAAGCCCTGCCAGGAGTGACCCCAAAATAAAAAGAGGAGCATGGGGGCTGGAGCAATAGCACAGTGGGTAGGGCGGCCGATCTGGGTTCGAGCCCCAGCATCCCGGACGGTCCTCCGAGCACCGCCAGGAACGGTCCCTGAGTGCAGAGTCAGGGGAACCCCTGGGCTCATCGCTGAGTGTGACCCGAAAAGCAGAAAAAAGAAAGGGAGGAGGACAAGCGTGGGGATCAGGGACTGCAAGGCCGGGGGTGGAACTGGGTTTTGGGGGCGTGTGGAGAGATCGGGCCCCGGGGGCCAGGCCCCCCACCTCGCCCTGCTCTCTCGGGCCTCCCCTCACCGAGTCGGAGCTGCTGTCCTCAGCGGGCCCGGAGAGGTGGGGGGCGATGGGAGCGGGCTGGCTGATGACCACCAGGGGGGAAGACTCGCGCAGGCCGGCGGCGGGAGAGGGGCCGGGGTCTCCGCGCTCACACAGGCCATAGGGGGGCAGCCTCATGTCTTCTGGAGACTCATCCTCAGAGTCGGTCAGCGCCGCGGGGCAGCCTGTAGGCACCAGGGCGTGGGGGTGGGGGGGAGAGAGAGAGAGAGACAGAGACAGAGAGAGACAGAGAGAAGGGAGAGACGGAGACAGAGGAGAGAGACAGTGACAGACAGAGACAGAGACAGAGATGAGATGAGATGAGACAGAGAGAGACGAGGGAGACAGAGACAGAGCGAGACAGAAAGGAGAGACAGAGAAAGACACAGAGAGAGGAGAGAAACAGAGAGAGACAGAGAGAGGAGAGAGACACAGAGACAGGAGAGAGATAGAGAGAGAGCGAGAGAGAGAGAGAGAGAGAGAAAGAGAGAGAGAGAGAGAGAGAGAGAGAGAGAGAGAGCTGTCAGCCAGTCAGGTCCGGGTTCGAGCGGCTCCATCTCTCCCAGCTGAGGGGCCAACGTGGGAAGGCCCAAGGCAGAGCACGCAGAGGCCCCCTCTCCCCTCTCCCGGAGGCGCCGCCCACAGGGCCAGGCGGAAGGGGTGTCAAGGCCGGGTGGGGTACAGACTCAGCCCCGCAGAGGCCTCCTCGTCCTCCGTAGCCGCGTCCTCGTTCCACTTCTCGTCCGCCACCTTGTCCAGGCGGGCCTCCAGCTTCCTCATGTACTCGAGCAGCTCCTGGGGGTGGGGGACGGCGGTTCGGATGAGCCTTAAGGGTCTCCACCCAGGTCAACCCCAGCTCCTCTGGGGCGCGGGGGCGGGGGTGCCTCTGCCGTGAAGCGGGGGCGGTTTAGGGCGATCCCCGGCCCCAGGACCCCTCTCTCATCCCTTGCATCCCCCCTAACTCCAGTGACATTCCTTCCTGCCCCCTCTCCCCCAGACCCCGAGGTCCTTCTGAGTCAGCTGGAAAGGGGGGACACCCGCTTGACACCCCCGGGGAGACCGGGAAGACCGTCTCCAGCCCTGCCTCCAGACCCTGGGCTGGGTGCTGGCCTGAGTCCGGGCTCGAGTCCGGGCTCGTACCTGTTTCTCCTCCTGCAGCTGCTCCTTTTCCTTCTGGAGCACTCGCAGGGCGGAGCGCAGCTCGGACAGCTCCCGCTTACTCTCGGACAGCTGCACCTGAGGAACGGCGATGATGAGGGTCCCTCTGAGGAAACGGGCTTGGGGCCTGGACTCCACCGCCTGGCGCGCGCCTCGGGGGACATCACCTCGCCCTTCTTCCCGGAGTCCTGCCCTGGCCACGCAACCCCAGCCCCGATCTCCTGGGCGTGGCCCTGGGGCCTGCTTCCAGGCCTTGGAGCTGAGGCACGGGCCGCGGCAGGGGCACCCCATAATTCTTACTAGGCCCAGAACGTGCGCTCAAGAGCAGAGAGAGGGGCTGGAGCAAGAGCACAGCGGGGAGGGCGTTTGCCTTGCCCGCGGCCGACCCGGGTTCGATTCCCAGCATCCCATAGGGTCCCCGAGCACCGCCAGGGGTAATTCCTGAGTGCAGAGCCAGGAGTAACCCCTGTGCATCGCCGGGTGTGACCCAAAAAGCGAAAAAAGAAAAAGAGCAGAGAGAAATGTCATGTGTCTGACGCCAACGGGGGCTGGAGGCACGCCCGTGACAGGCCCCCCGACATCCCAGGGCCTGCTGCCCCCGCCCCCCGGCAGAGAGGAGGAGAGCCGCGTCTCCTGGGCCGCCGGGACCTCACCAGGCTGGAGTCCTTCTCCCGGGCGAGTTCGGTCTTGCATGCTTGGTTCTGAGCCCTCTCCTCCTGAACCGCCTTTTCCAGGCGAAGTATCTCTGCGCTCAGCTTCAGGATCTTGTCCTTCTCGGCCTGGGGAAGCCCACAGAGGACAAGAGGAAGGTCAAGGGCGGGAAAAGGGGCGCAGGGAGGCGCTGGCCAAACGGCCTGTCCCTGCCGCATCTCTCCCTTCTATGCAACAAGAGCTTTTCTCAAAGTGTCTTGAGTGAAAAAACCGTGCGGGGCTCGAAGCCTGGGTCTTGGACGCGCCAGGCAAATTCTCTCGCTCGGCGAACCTTACGGGGTATTCAACGGAGATGAGCAACCCCCCCTCTTTCTTCTGGGGCCACACTCAGTGGCAGTCGAGGCGGGGACGGGGCGGGGGTCACTCCTGGTGATGCTTGGGGCACCGCGCAGCGCCAGAGCACACGTGGGAATCCACACACAAGACCTGTGCCGTAGTGGTCGGGACGCCCGCCCAGCCCCGAATCTCTCTCTTCCCACCTCCCCCTCCCCTGGCCTCCCGCAGGCGCTCCCCGCCGAGGACTGGCCTTAGGGAAGGGCCGTGCCCAGGGCAGTGCGTGTTTCTGGGCGAAGATGGCAACCAAGGCAGGTGCGATGCCGGCCGGCGCTGGGGCGCTCGGGTTAGAAGCGGGTCACGCCGGACGGGGACAGGCACCCCCGCGACGCCCCTTCTCTCCCCGAGGCGGCCGCCCCAGGTCTCTCCCCCGGCGCCCTACCTCCACGCTCTGCAGCAGCCCGGCCCGCTCTTTGTTCCACTGGCTCTTCTCCTCCTTCAGGTGCAGGCTGAGCTCGGCCAGGCGGCCGCTGACTCCGGCCACTTCCAGGCGGCTGCGGTGCAGCTCGGCCATGGTGCGGTCCCTGGCCCCCGCGGCGCTGGCCAGCTCTTCCCCCAGCAGGGCGGCTTTCTGCTGGCTCGAGGCGGCCAGCTCCTGGGCTCCTCGGAGCTGCTCCTTCAGCGGCTCCAGCTCGGCCTTGGGACGGGGAAGGGGAGGATCAACTTGGGGGGACCCCCGGCGAGCCGGGAGGCGCGTGGGCTTCTCCCCAGCCGGACTCTGGTGTTGCCCGGCTTTGGCCAGGTCTGCCCCTTCCCTCCGGCCACCCTGGCTGTCTGGGCAGCCTGTGGAACTCTTCTCCTCCCTACTTGCCTGGAGGGCCTTCCTGCACTCACCACCCGCTGCTGGGCCTGGCCCAGGCTGTCCTTCATCTGGGCCACCTTGTCCTTCAGCCGCTGCGCCTGAGCACCCAGTTCCTCCTGGCGGCCCTTGGTCTCCTGCAGCTCCGAACTCAAGCGGCAGTTCTCCTGCTGTGCCGCCTGGAGCTCAGCCTGGGGAGGGAAGGAAAGGGACCCGCGTGATCGGGGTGGTCAGGGAGGAGGACCCTCTGGCAAGAAGGCCCAGACGCCCCTCCCAGGCAGCACTCCTTCAAGCATTCAGCCCTTCCCACCCTCTGTGGACCTCAGGCTCCAACCAGAAGGTTCTGTCTGCAGCTTCCTAATGGAGGGATTCAGCCTCACAGCCTGGGGAGCCCAAGTCCCTCTTCCGTCTCTTCCTTCTCCATTCACTGTTTGGTCACACCCCGTGGTGCTCAGGGGTCATTCGCTCTGGTGTTCAGGACGCCAGGCGTGGCAGGGCACCGGACCCACCTCTTGTCACACAGAACATGCATTCGGCCCACTGAGATCTCTCCCCAGCTTTTCTTTTCCCTTTCTTTTGGGGGTGGTGGTGGTCATTTTTTTTATTCTGTATCACTGTTTCACTGTCATCCTGTTGTTCTTCGATTGCCTCGAGCAGTAACGTCTCCTTCATCCTAGCCCCGAGATTTTAGAAAGTGCCACATTCGAGGCTCTTTCAGGGTCAGGAGAATGAGACCCGTCATTGTTACTGCTTTTTGGCATATTGGGTTCGCCATGGGGGGTTTGCCAGACTCTGCCATGTGGGCAGGATACTTTCGGTAGCCTGCCAAATTTTTTTATTATATCGACTATTTTTTAATGTTATACCTAATTCTTATTACATTAGTGCCAACATTCATGCTTTTGGTATACAGTTACTGCACCTCCTACATCACATCTGATCATTTCTATTCTTTCAGAGGTTGGGTTGGGTCATACCCAGCAGTGATCAGGGGCTACTCCTGGCTCTATGCTCACCAGTGACCTGGTAGTGGCTTGGGGGACCATATGCAGTGCTGGGGATCGGACCAGGGTTGACTTCATTGCAAGGCGAGTACCTTTAACCCTGGATTCTCTCTCCAGTGCCCTACGTATGGTCATTTTTGCTTGTACTACTGTATAACAGCACAGCGGGTAGAGCGTTTGCCTTGCAAGTGGCCAACATGGCCGACCCGAGTTCGATTCCTCTGCCCCTCTCGGAGAGCCCGGCAAGCTACCGAGAGTATCTCACCCGCATGGCAAAGCCTGGCAAGCTCCCCGTGATGTATTCGATATGCCAACCACAGTAACAACAAGTCGCAAAATGGAGACGTTACTGGGCCTGCTCGAGCAAATCGATGAACAACAGGAGGACTGTGACAGTGACTGAATAATTTGTAGCTAGTTTTCCACAAGGCAATCAAATTAAATTTTTTTTTTTTTGGCTTTTGGGATCACACCTGGCAGTGCACAGAGTTTACTTCTGGCTTTGCACTCTGGAGTCACTTCTGGTGGGGCATGGCTGTGAGGATGGGTACCATATGAGATGCCAAGATTGAACCTGGGTCGGCTGCATGCAAGGCAAACACCCTCCCTGCTGGACTACGGCTCTAGTTCCACACTGACTCTTGAAGTACAGTTCTTCATGTATATGACATCCATTAGAAAATCACCAATGCTTTTCACTGCTTAGAGAATAAAAACTGAACTTAAGACTCAAGGAGGCTGGAATGACAGCACAGAAGGTAGGGCGTTTGCCTTGCACGTGGCCGACCTGGGTTCGATTCCCAGCATCCTATATGGTCCCCTGAGCACCGCCAGGGGTAATTCCTGAGTGCAGAGCCAGGAGGAACCCCTGTGCATAGCCACGTGTCACCCAAAAAGAAAAAAAGGACTCAAGGCCTGGGCCTCATCTCAAACTCCCCCCTGCCCCCGCCACACATTCAAGTGCCCCAAGAGCTCTGGACTCCAGCCTTGGCCAATTCTTGGTCGCCAGAACAGCTTCCTTTCATTTCTGCTTACTGGCGTCTATCACGGCTGAGCAAATGATTTCCAAAAATCGGCTGCAGAGGCCTGGGGTTCTGAGGAAGCAAGTTAGAGGTTTTACCGATAATTCGTTGAATTTCTCCTGAATTATTAAATGTGACATGAAAAAATATTACAGACGACCAATCCACAGGTCTGCTGCCAGGTTGAGTCACTGTAGTGCCAACAGCAGAATAAAGCGTCTATTTAAGTGATTTCTGTGTCTTTCCAAGCACAAACCGAGACAGCAGGTGGACAGTTTAAAAATTGTGATCATTCGCTCCTACTTGTGTGTCACTCAAGGTGTTCTGACTATCGTACAACCAAGACAAAATACAGAAAAAACGTAGCTGCTGAGTCATCCGTAAGCTCTAGTTTCAAAGGATGGTATCCATCCAAGAGATCGGTTGCTTTCATTACCTTGTAAGTCATGTCATACACTCGAATTTATCAAAGTAAATGATAGCAATGAGACTCTTTTTAATGCACTGTGAGGTTCCACATAAGATGTAAAACTTCACTGGGGGGTGGTAAAGTCGGGGTTTTGCTGCCTGAAACGTACGAAAATACCACGTTGGTTTATGCCCCTGTTTAGTCCTTTTATCTATTTTTTTTTTCTTTTGGGGTCATACCTGGTGGCACCCAGGGTTTATTCTTGGCTTTGCACTCAGGAGTCAATCCTGGTGGCATTCGGGGCCGTGTGAAGGGCAAATGTCCTTCCTGCTGTACTACCACTCTGGCCCAGTGAGCCCTTTTAAAACATCTTAAGAAGATGTGCTAACCTCTGTGAAAAACGTCATAACTCAATTCTACTCCCCCGGTGACACCTGTAGTCCATTGACTGGTACATGGCTCTGGTCCCCTGGAGCGCGCACGCTCCGTCTTGACACCTACATCGTCTTTGGAGCCAGTACTCAGAAGACACTGAGTAAACACTGGACGGACAACTGAGAAAGCAACCAGTTTTGAGCCTCTTACCTCACTCTGATCCTTGTCTGCCTGCACTTCCTTCAGCTGCCCAAGGAGTTTCTCCTGTTCCCGAGTCAGCGCCTTCACCGTGTCTCTGACCCTGTATGTGGGGGGACAGAAAATGGATGACCGATTCAGACCTCTGTTTTAATTTCTTGTTTTGGGGCCACACCTTACTCCTGGAGGTGCTTAGGGGACCACATGGCATGTCACAGACCAAACCCGGGTCAGCCGCGTGCAAGGCCAGTACCTCCTCGCTGTCCTCCCTCTCAGGCCCCAGGCCTCAGACTTCTGTGCTGAGCTCCTCCAGGGGCACACATCTCCACTCCTCTCAGGGATACTTAAGTCCCCAGAGGTGATTCTATTCTAAGTCTCAAGCAGAGATTCCGAGTTCTAGAGCACAATCTGGAAACAAACTCCTCTCTTAAAAAGAGCCACATACCACTTGCAGGAAATGCTCTGGGAAGGCCCCCCAGGCCTTGTCCCTCCATCAGAGATCAGAATCCAATCTTTTGCTTTTTGGGTCACATCCGGCAGTGCTCAGGGCTTACTCCTGGCTCTGCGCTCAGGAATCACTCCTGGCAGTGCTCAGGGGACCATATGGGATGCTGGGAATTGAACCCGGGTCGGGCTGCGTGCAAGGCAAACACCCTACCCGCTGTGCTATCACTCCAGCCCCAGAATCCAATCTTTTTGAGACTGACAAACTTTTGGTCTGGATCAGAGGTTGGCAGAGTCATTCTGCAAGAGACCCCCGTACACACTCTAGGCTCCCAAAGCCACAGTCGCCGCAGCAATGAATCGACTCTGCCATGGAGTGTGGCAGTAGACACAGACATGTAAACAAGCAAGTATGGATCTTTCCTAAAATCTTATATGTGAACTCTGAAATCTGAAGTGCATGTTATTTCCCAACGTCATCCAAGAGTATTCTTCTCACTTGCTTTACAATCACTAAAACTGTCAAAGTCATTCTTACCAACTGGGTTGGCATGTTGAATTTGGCACAGGCACCATACTTTGCTGACCCCTTGCCTACGGAGGCGCTAATCTCTTCCAGCAGTTCAGTGTGATCTTTTCTTTTGGATGGCGTGGGCCACAACAGCAGGACTCAAGGGCTGCTCGTGACTCCATGCTCAGGAATCACTCATGGGGGGAGTTTGGGGAGACCACATAGGGTGTCTGTGATCACAGTAGGTTGGCTGCACACAGGGTAAGTGCCTTATCCTCTGGAGTTTCTTTCTGGCCCTGATTTTGTTTTTCTACTCCATGATTTAGAATACTGGTAGTTAGTAGCTCCCCAAGGCAAGACTAACATATAAAGAAGTCTTCAGAATCAACTTATTACTCTGGCCCGTACATAGAATACCTCTTTCCTTTAAAGGCATTTGCAAAAAGTCTAATCTATCAGTACTGAATTAAACTTTAATCATGTTTTTTTTTGGGGGGGGGGTGATTGTTTTTTGGGTCACACCCAGTGATACTCAAGGGTTACTCCTAGCTCTGCTCACTCCTGGAAGTCCTTGGGGGACCATAAGGGATGCGGGAGATCGAATCCAAGTCAGCCATGTGCAAGGCAAATACCCTACCCACTGTACTATCGTTATGGCTCCAAATCATGTTATTTGATAAAGGAAACAATGAGTGAAAAGAATTCTGGTGAAAAACTGAAGGGCGGAAATGAGAGGTGGTCAATCAGGTCCCATCTGATAGAAGCAACAGTTGTCCAGAAGCAGATACAATATTCTGCGTGGTACCAGAGGACCAACCCAGGAGTCGTGAGTTAAAGTTTCAAGAGAGCAGCGTTTGGCTCAATCAAAGAAATAGAGTAAAAATGACAGCTGTCCAATACTGGAAAGGCTGCACCGCGAGAGTGATCTTCTCTTCTGTGGGGTAGGGGCTGCGGGGAGAGGTTTACTGGAGATTTAATACATGCAAGTCACATGCTCTGAGCTGCATCCCTAGCCCCATTTTACTCTTTAAACCACCTTTCACTCCTCCCAATGCTGAGAATCTATGATTGATACCTTTCTTCCAAGGAAGAGATCACATAACATTCTGGGATCACCAGTTCTAACTATTTCCAAATAGTTCAAGAACCAAATCTCATTCCTTCCTGCGATAAAAACTGCAATGTGCCCTCTTTCCTCTCGTGTTAAATGCTCTATTCATCCTCCTCTTCCCTAGCTCCTACTGGCCTCGTTTTGGCTGTGACTTAGATGGAAATTCCGATTGTTTCTGGAAGGGAGGGATGTGGACGAGTGTTAGGAAAGACGAAGACAGCTAGGTAGAAAACAGACAACCTCAGTAGCTGGGGGGTCCTGGGTGCGGCTGCGAGGGGAAGGAGAACCTGTACGAGATCAGTAGTAGACCAGCCTCCTGAAACCGGAAGCTGGAATTCAGAGATCACCAGAAATAACAGCAAATAATGGGGGGGGGGAAGAGAGAGAAAGGGGGGGCAGAGGTGGTCTCCGCACCTGTCCAGCTCCACCTCCTTAGTCAGCACTTTCTCACTGATGGTCTGGATGTCATCTTCCAGCTCCAGGATCCGCGCCACATGGTCTCCCTGCTGCCGACTCAGGACGTCCCTCTCTTCTGTTAGCTCGCCATGGGATCGGGAGAGTCCCTGGAATTAAGGTGACCCCAGAAGGGAGCTGTTAACCGTCTCCCAAGAAGCAGAGCGCGTCTCGGAGCAGGCCTGGTCCCACCCCTCCCGTGTCGCCTTTCTTCAAAATCAAACTTTAAGAGAATCTGCCTTTAACTGGCGAACTAGGTCACCTCCACTCTACCGGGATACTTCTAGGTTCGAGGTACTAATGTTTATTTGGGATGGCTGCCTGTCAGATCAAGCTGAATTTCATTTGGTACCCACCGCACCTTCATTTTCTGGCCACGCCTGGCCGAGCTCAGGACTTGCTCCTGGCTCTGCGCTCAGCAGTCCCTCCCCGTGGTGCTTGGGCGACCACATGTGCTGTTGGGGACCTCACGGGGGTCAGCTGCAGGCCTGCCGAGTGCCTTATCCCACACCGTAACTCTGAGCCCAGGCGTCACTCCTGTCTCTGAGCGCAGGAATCACTCCTCACGGTGCTCGGGGTGCCATACGGGATGCTGGGAACCGAACCTGGGTCAGGCATGTGCCAACGCACTGTACTATAGCTCTGGCTCCCAAACCTATCTCTTCATGTGTGTACAAGGTATCAGGGATCAAGCCCAGGACATCATGTAGGGAGGCACGCGTTCTGTCTGCCACTAAGACACATCCTGGCCTAAAACCGTTTTTCAAAAATACTCACAGGACATCTTAAAATCTGCTACGGTTTCCCCTTCATCCTCACGGCACTGAGCTCAGATTCCACACCCGCGCAGGGCAGGCCCCACCTTCCCACCTTGTACTGCTCCGCGAGCTCCGCGTGCTCCTGCCTGGCGGCCGTCAGCGTCTTCTCCAGCTCCTGCACGCGGCTGCGCAGTTCTGTCACCTGGCCCTCGAGCTGCAGCTTCAGCTGCATCAGGTCGTTCCGCTCCTGCTGGCTTTCGTCCAGCTGGCTCTGCGGGGGAGGACGGCAAGGGGGTCGAGCCTGTCAAGGGCGCGCTTTCAGTGGCATTTGGGAACAGGGAAGTCACGTCAGTGGGCTTTCGAAAGAGGAGGACTGGCAGCTGCATCAGACACAGGGCCCTCTTGGCTGTCCGGGCTCATCTCTTCCTTCTTATTGACTCATGTTCAGTTAGTGCTTTATTTTGGGTTCCTGGGCCGCACCAAGAGGTGTTCAAAGCTACTCCTGGCGTGGTGCTCAGTAATGATCCCTGATGGCGCTCGGGGAACTGTACGTGGTGTCAGAGATTCAGAAGAGATTCAAACTGAGGCTGACAGGACTCAAGGTAAGTGCCAGGGGTTACTCCTGGCTCTGCACTCAGGAATCACCCCTGGCAGTTCTCGGGGTACCATATGGGATGCTGGGAATCGAACCCAGGTCGGCCGCGTGCAAGGCAAATGCCCTACTCGCTGTGCTATCACTCCAGCCCCAGCACCTTATCCTTCTTATTCTCTCTCTCTCTCTCTCTCTCTCTCTCTCTCTCTCTCTCTCTCTCTCGTTTTGGAGTCATACCTGGTACCGCTGACTTCTGGCTTGTGCTCAGGAATCACTCCTGGCGGGCTGGGGGGCTATCATATTGAACTGAACCAGGTTCAGCCATGTGCAAGGCAAGTGCCCTACCCACCGCACCATCTCTCTGGCCCCACCCTTATACTATCTCTTCGGCCCATGTCTGACCAAGGCAGGCCCCTACTTTACCCAGCAATTCCTTTGTCTGGCGGAAGTCTTTCTCAACTCCCACAGACAGAGGAGTGACTCTCCGAAGTTTACCATATCTGCTCTGGAGCCAAAGAGATGTTAGACAATGTTGAGAACAGCTTTTTTCGGGGGGCGGGGGGGGGGGGGAGACGGGGAATGACACCCTGCTGTGCTCAGGTCTGACTCTTGGCTCTGTGCTCTGGTCACTATGATCAGTGCGCAGGGGTCACTCCTCGTGACAAACTAGATGTAAGTAGCTGTGAATAAGTTCCTTATCTTCCCCGAGTCTCTGTGTCCTCATCTGCAAAGTAATTCCTTACTTGCGTTGTCATAAGGTGATTATAATGAGAATAATATAAAAATAGAACATGGGGTAGAAACTCATACACAAATTTAAGTAAGAGACAAATATCTTCCCGTTCATTGGCTGATCTTGTGGGAGGCCTCCCAGGCAACGTTCTACTTCTACTTGGTGGTGCTCGGGGTATCATGAAGTGCTAAAGATCAAACGTAGAGAGCTGATATATGCCAGACAAGCACACCATCCCTCTGATCAATCTCCCCAGCCCAGATTCTGTGTTTGGAAGGTTCTAACGGGAAAAGATTTGTCAAAATCAGTATTTCTCGGGGCTGGAGCGATAGCACAGCAGGTTGGGAGTTTGCCTTGCACGCGGCCGACCCAGGTTCAATTCTCAGCATCCCAGATGGCCCCCCCGAGCATCGCCAGAAGTAATTCCTGAGTGCAAAGCCAGGAGTAACCCCGTGCATCACCGGGTATTACCCAAAAAGAAAAAAAAAATCAGTATTTCTCAACTGGGGACCATATGATCCCCTGTTGACCCCTAGAATATTCTAAGGGGTCCCCAGGTGAAAATCATATATGGGTGGTAAGGGGGGACGCATAAGACTATGGGCCAATCTGCAGGACAGAGGTGCCATCAAAAGGAAACCAGGTTGGAAGGGGTTCACCGTCAGAAGAAAGTTGAGGAATATTGGTTAGATCAAGCTACGCACTCTTACCTTCCAGCCTTTCTCAGGCCTCTCTTCTTTGGGGGTGGGGGGGATGCACATCCTCTTACTTGACACACCTCCCCCCATCCCCTCACCTTTCTTTCAGGAAAGCTTCCTCCTAATTCTTCCCCATACGGTCTTCAGTCCAACACAAAAGTAACACAAGCCACTCTTAATTCTCGAGGAGACAATTTCAAGTAGTAAGAAATGGGTAAGATCAATCTGTTACTCTTTCGGTTTTGGGGCCACACCTGGCAGTGCGTGGGGCCTTTTCCTGGTTCTGCGCTCAGGGTACGTGGCGCCTGGGGACTGAATCAGGGTCGTCTGCATGCAAAGCAAGCGCTTACCCCCTGCACTACCTTCCTGGCCCAAGAGATTCATTTCAATAGTATTTTCTCTAACCTAGGTACCATTGCACCTGCTTTGCATGAGGGAGGCCTGGGTTTGAGCCCCAGAATCACATGGTCCCCCGGTGACGGTCACCACCAGGGCGACTCCAAGCACAGAACCACGAGTAGGCCCTGAGTAGCCAGGTGTGGACCTTGAGTACCCCTGGGCATGGCCCAAATCTAAAAAGAAAATCAAAAGCATTCGGGTCTTTTACATTTCTTCCCTGGTTTTGGGCTACACCTGGTTGTGCCCATGGCTTACTCGTGGCTCTGTGCTCAGGGATCATTCTTGACAATGCCTGAGGGACCCTACGTGGCGCCAGTGATCAAAGCCGGTTCGCCACGTGCAAGGCAAGTGCCCTACCTACTCTCCGGCCCTACGTTCAGTTTTCGACTAAGACAACACAGTCTAGTGTGTTTCAGCCCCAGAGTACGTACATGCCAACGTAGACTAGTCCCATTTCCAGAGCTCAAAGCCAAGTGGCTTATGCCTTTGGGCTTGGGCAGTCGGGCCCTGGGCCTCACCTATCTGCTGTCACTCCTCAGGCCCTGGAAGTGGGTCCGATCCGCTCCTTCTGTGAATGTTCCTTCCCTGAATGTCCCTTCCCTGAAGTGCCTCCCTGGTCCTTTCTCCAGGGCCCGGTCAGGACAGAGTACAGGGAGAGAGCAGTCTCCAAGGTTTCTCAGGGAGCCTGGAGTTCAGCCGGCTGGGAGGTGGCCGGCTTCCCTGCCCCCATATTTGGGTCTGTTTAGACTGAGACCTTATAAACACCAGCCTTTACACCACTCCCCGAGGGCTGCCACGACACGAGGCGGGCGCAGGGGGGAGGCCCCTGCAACGCCGTCCTCCCACGTCTGTGCCCACGCAGCTGCTGCCGTGGCTCCGCTGTCCTGCTCTCACCTGCAGCACGGTGGCCTTGGGGACAACCAGCAAGATGTCAGAGCCCCCGTCTGTCTCTTCCAGAGTCACGAGTTCGTCCATGGGCCGCGGCTCTCGGAACTGGAAAGCGGGGCTCTGCCCACACACTCGGCCCTGGCGGTTCACGTACCGGAACTGGTAGAGCTGGGCGCCTGGTTTGGGCAGGTAGCTGGCTGCGGGAAGGAGAACGGGTCCGGACGGGCCACGGACGTCAGCGGGTCCCTTCCTCTTGGTGTGTTCTATCTCGTCCCATTTCTATTCCCCCCTCCCCCGGTTTTTGGGTCACACCTGGCAATGCTCAAGGGTTATTCCTGACTCTGTGTTCAGGAATTATTCCTGGCAGTGCTTGGAGGACCATCTGGAATGCCGGGATCGAACCCAGGTCAGCCACATGCACGTCAAGCATCCTACCCGCTGTACTCTCTCTTCAGCCCTTCCATCCGGTTTCTCGTTCCGTGAACTACACTTCCTCCTCTCCACCTCCCACAAGCTATGTCTGCTCCCTGGGGTACTGTGCTCCTTCCTCTTCGCCTTATCTTCTCTTTCTCAAACCCATGTAATAATGGTAACAATAATTACAAAACTAAATGATAATGACGCTAATTAAGCTTTACCGGTGTCCAATATGCCCAGTTAACAACTTGACTTTATTATTTCATTTACTTTTCTCATTTCTTGGGTTTTTTTTTTTTCTTACAGTGCCAGAGACTGAACCCAGGTCCTGCGTGCAAGGCACACGCTCAGCCAGTGAGCTACCTCACCTTTACTGACTTCAATCCTCATCCTGTATCTGCAAGCCAAGAATTCCCTCTACTATTCCGATAATAGGCACCGAGAGGTCAAGTCCTGGGTTCAAATTCAAAGAGCTAGTAATAGTGAGCGGAAATCTGCATCTAATCTGCATCTAAAAAATCGAATGACCACCGCTTCTCAACCTTTCCTTCCTCTCCACCCCAAAAGCTCCTCCTGCCTCTGGTAGGTGAGACCGACTGTCCTCACAGACCTTCCCACCTCCAGACCTCCTGGCTCCGCGACAGTCCCCAGGTTCCCTGTCTGCTGGGCTCTGCCGAACGTGTTTTCCCTTCTAATGCACTCACACTCGCTTTTCTTTACCCGTCACTGCCTCGTGGGTCCCTAAGCTCAGTCTCTCTCCGCCCAACTCCTACTCCTTCGGCACCTCCCAGTTTGCCCTCTTCATCTGTACCTTGGAACTGGACACTGGCGTGAGTGGGGGAGCCGTCGGCGGTGGTCTCGGGCACCGAAGACCACACAAACGTGTGGTAATCCCGCACACAAGCGGCCTCCACCTGTAAAAGCCCAAAGTGGGAGAGGGGGGTGGGTGACGAAGGCCCCGGCTCGGGAGGGCTGCAGGCGCTGAGGGGATGAGCGGAAGGCGGGGGCCCCGATGAGGGGATGTCACAGGGGTCTGAGAGAGGAAAGTGAAGGACAGCCAGAAGAGAGTGAGCTTAAGGCGGGGCACGCAGCAGGGCTTCTACAGGTGGGCTCTGCGCTCTGTGACAGTGCTCTCCTGTCTCTATCAGCGCAAGGTTGAAACGCCAAGACCCTGGTCGCTAGTCCTCTTGCTCCCATCAACTCATGGCCCATTCACCTGGGCCAGAAACGGTTCTAGAGGTACCTTGAAGATGCCAATCCAGTCACTAGCGCTGGGCACGGTGCCTGGCGGGAGGGTGTAGTGACATTCCACCTTGGTATTGGGGATGTAGGTCCGGGCGACATTCAGAAAGGTGACTCCACTGCGGGAGGGGGCCCGGCTCACGGAGGATTCTTCCATCTCGGCCTCGGGGTGTCTGTCCTCCTAGGAAGCAGAGGGTAAATACCTGGACATCTCGCCAGCCCCGCCTCCTCCTCTGCTTGCCCGCCCCACGGCCGGGGTCCCTAGGCATAGCCAGTCCCAGCCCTTGAGGGCTACAGAACCATTAAAGTGTCACTGCTAGCCTCGGGGACAGAGGCCTAGCCTTCTGAGTCAGCCTCCATCCTGTCTCACACGTGAGCTTCTCTGAGTCACCGACTCTTCCTAGAGCGGAGGTCTCTAAGTTATGCTCCCTTTTCAGCACCCCGGCCCAAATATTAGCATCCCACGTTCTTCCTCCTCAGTCGAGGGGGTGGTGGGGGGCAGGGGGGTCGGTGTTGGACCACCGCTAAGCTACACTGCTACTCTGCGGCTACTCCTGGCTGTGCTTGAGGGAGTCATGGTGGTGCTCGGAAATTCACCAGGGTCAGTTATGTGTAAGGCAGATGCAAATGCCTGTCTCTGTACTATCTCTCTGGCTGCCTTTTTCCCTGGAGGGGGTGCACCTGTTGATGCTCAGGGATTATCCTTGGCTCTGTTACTCATGAATCACTTGGGGGGCCACATGGGATGCAAGGGATCGAAACGGGTTGGCCGTCCCACCGCTCCAGTCCCCTTCGCCACTTACTACCATCCCCAAGTGTTCCAGAATCTTCAGTTGATCCCCATCCGATTCCCACCACCTATGGCTCTTTAAAAATCAAAAATCCAACTGAGGTGGGGGCCCCTCATTCTAGGCTGGCCTCCTGGCCCACTCCCAGGATTACTGATCCAACTGGACCCGCAGGAAGGCCACAGGACACGGAAAAACTCGTTTTTGACAAGAATGAACGATTGAGACTTCTGAGATGAAAGAGAACTCTGTGTGTGTGTGTGTGTGTGTGTGTGTGTGTGTGGGTGGGTGTGGGTGTGGAGAGGAGGCAAAACTCAGGGTGGCAGGCCCCTGAGTGCGCCTTTCTGTACCTCTGTCGGCCCCCATGAATAATATTATTACTAATAAAAATGACAGCAATGACGTTTCTGCTCTCAGACGAGTCGAGAAAGGAAAGGGAAGACACAAGGAAAGTAGGTTCTGTCTTCAACTACACTTCCTGAGAGTCAAGAATTCTGGAGGCGGCTGCTTCAAGGGCGGAGTGAACGCTTGAAGGAACGTGGTGGTGTGGGGGGAAGGAATGCCGGGGGCCTGGAGCCAGGAAAGCCACACCCCTGGGCGGGGGAGAGACGGGGAGGTAGGACGGGGGGGGGGGGGGGCTCCCGAGGAGGAGCTGGATCAATAATATGAAGAGAGGGGGGCCGGAGCCATAGCACAGCGGAGAGGGCGTTTTTTGCCTTGCATGCGGCCAACCCGGGTTCAATCCCCGGCATCCCATATGGTCCCCCGAGCACCGCCAGGAGTGATTCCTGAGTGCAAAGCCAGGAGTGACCTCTGAGCATTTCTGGGTGTGACCCAAAAAGCAAAATAATAATAATAATAACAATATGGAGAGAGAGGGAGAGCGCGTGTTCAGGCGTGAACCTAACACGCTTCTCTTAGAATCTGGCCTGGACAACTAGAAGCCTTACTGGGTGGACTCTGGGAGCCCTGCCTGGGCACTCCCCCCTGGCTCCACTCACACCCCTCTCCTCTTAGCCTCGATTCTAAGCGGCGCATCCTTCCATCTGCTGGGCGAGCAGTGCCCTATGGATGAGATTCAGCGGAAGAGATGGTCCGAGTTAGGGGGGTGAGTCCGCTGGAAACTCCGGGGGTGGAGCCAGGAAAGAACAATAAAACTCCCAAGGAGGCCCGGGCCCAGGGCCGAGAGGTGGCCCTCTGCGTGTCCGCCCTCCTGCACACACACTGTCCTGCCGCCTCCACTCGCCCCGTGGCCGGTCGGCCCAGGGGGCAGGAACTCGGGAACTTGGCAGGGAGGCAGCAGGCGAGGAAAGGGGGGTCGGGGCCAGGCTCCCCTGCAAACAGTCTGGACCGAGGCCACGAGCTCGCTCCGGGGGGCTCAGTTCTCAAACCTCCCGCGGGAAGACTGGCCCGTCCCTGCTGCAAATACAAGTCTGGTTTGTTTTTTGCTTTTTCTTTTGCTCTTTGGGTCACACCTGGCGATGCTCAGGGGTTCCTCCTGGCTCCTGGCGGTGCTCGGGGGACCCCAGGGGATGCTGGGGATCGAACCCGCGTGCAAGGCAGACGCCCTCCCCGCTGCGGGCTGAGTCTGCTTTTCGAGGAGGGGGACACCACTGCCCCCGGACACCTGAGCCTGGGAGCTGCCTCCCCCCCACCCCGTCCCCAAACGCTGCGCACACACCCACCAACTCCTTGGCAGCTGGAGACCAGCTGGGCCGGAGGGCGACCTCGGGGACCCCCGGGCACGGGCGTCCCCAGGTCCGATCCTGCGCGTGTGTGCGTGTTGGGGGGGAGGGGAATGGGGGTGTCCCGGGCCCCGACCCCGTCGGGCTCCGGAGCCCCTCGACGGTGCGGACAGGCCCCCCGCGCCCCCCGGGGTCCTGCGTGGAAAAGGCCTCTCGGGCCGGCGGGCGCGCGGGTGGCCGCAGGTCTGCGGGGTTCGAGCCTGGCGGGGCGCGAAGAGCCACGATTTCCGCCTCCCCCAGGCTCCTCCGAGCGCACCAAGTTTCCCCGAGGCCCCGGCTCGGCGCCCCCCGCCCCCCGCCGCCGCCCCCTCGGACCCAGAACTCCTCCAACCGCGGGGGGGACCCCTCCGGGACGGGTCCCGCGCCAGCCCAGCCCCCGCCGGACCCGCCCCCGCCGGCCCCCTGGCGCCCCCCTTCCGCGCTCCGCGAAGCGGGGCGACCCCCTCGCGAGCTCGCCCCCCAACGAGGCCAAGTTTCTTACCCCACGGACGGATCAGCTGTTCCCTCACCTTTCACCAACAACAAAAACAGCAGCCGGACTCGGGGCGGGGCGGGAGACGGGCGCGCGCGCGGCCTTCTGGGCTTGTAGTTCCCCGGGCGCGTCCGCCGCCGAGCGCGCCCCGGCCCGGGACTACACCTCCCAGCAGGCCCCGCGCGGGGAAGGCGGAGCCCCGGGCGGCCGGGCCGGCGGCCGCCGCACTGCACTCTGGGAAACGTAGTCCGCGCTCCCGCGGCGGCAAGCGGGGGTGTGGCGGCCGGAGGACTACAAGGCCCAGGATTCCCCGGGAGGGGCGGGCCGTGCTAGTGGTGACTGCGAGTTAGTAACGTGCGCGTTGGGGGTGGGCGCGGAGGCGTGACGGGGCTAACGCCTCCCCGGGAGTTCGCCTGCGCGCTGACTGGCCGGCTTGGGCTGCGTCTTCCTAATTTTGCTTTTTGTTATTCACACGCCCTCCTGGATGGAGGAAACTTAACAAGTCCAGGAGGGTTAAGGAGTGGATGTCGGGATCAAAGTTAAAGCTGTGGTGGCGACAGTCCCTGCGCTGCCCGCGTATCTTTTTTTTTTTTTTTTTTTTTTTTGCTTTTTGGGTCGCACCCGGCGGTGCTCAGGGGTTCCTCCTGGCTTTGCACTCAGGAATCACTCCTGGCAGTGCTCGGGGGACCCTAGGGGATGCTGGGGATCGAACCCGGGTCTCCGCGTGCAGGGCAAACGCCCTGCTGTCACTCCAGGCCCAAGCCTCTGACCTGGCTTAAATCCATCAGGATCACAACATGTGCCTGTTAGCTCCTGTTTTTATTTTATTTTATTTTATTTTATTTATTTAGCTTTTCGGGTCACACCCGGCGATGCACAGGGGTTCCTCCTGGCTCTGCACTCAGGAGTTACTCCTGGCGGTGCTCAGGGGACCATATGGGATGCTGGGGATCGAACCCGGGTCTCCGCGTGCAAGGCAAACTCCTACTGTCACTCCAGGCCCAAGCCTCTCAACTGGCTTAAATCCCTCAGGATCACAACGCGTGCCTGTTAGCTCCTGTTTTTTTTTTTTTTTAATTTTTAATTTTTTTTCGCTTTTTGGGTCACACCCGGCAATGCACAGGGCTTATTCCTGGCTCTGCACTCAGGAGTTACTCCTGGCGGTGCTCAGGGGACCATATGGGATGCTGGGAATCGAACCCGGGTTGGCTGCGTGCAAGGCAAACGCCCTACGCGCTGTGCTATGGCTCCGGGCCCCCGTCTCTCCATATTATTGATCCAGCTCCTCCTCGGGAGCCCCCCGGTCCTACCTCCCGCCCCTAGCTCCTGTTTTTGTTTCGCAGACGTGAAAAGGTCCACAGCCCTCCCCGGTGTTGTGTTCAAGACACGCGTTTCTTCCTCCTTCCTCCTCCTCCCTGACCTTCCAGGTAGTCTGAGCAATCTCCCTGACTCTCTCTGATGGGATTAGAGTCGAAGGGTTGATTTGTTCTTCCTAAGCGCCCGATTTAATACTTTGCTGCGCTCAGTTATGGAGCCTCTGTCTCTCCCAAGTTTTTTGGGTAGTATTTTGTTTTTATGACCGAAGAGGGTGTCTGTTGCCTGCCCTTGGGTGCCTTTCATCTGAAGTTCCCCAAGTACTTAACAATAAGTCACTGGGCTTCGCAAACATTAAGGTGACATGTCTGTGTTATTAGTCAGAATTTATGAGGTGAGGTGCAAACTGCGGCAGGAGAGGCTCAAGGTCCCCGGATGGGTTGAGTCAGTCCTGTTCAAGGACCCAAGTCTCCGATGGTTTGGGTTTTTGTCTTTCACCCAGAAAAAAAGGCTTTCTGAAAAGTTGGAGCTGAAAATTGCAACAGCTTTTGTTGATTGGGTGGTTACAATGCCATGTGTTTAAACTATGCCAAGAATGTTTCCGTTTCATACAACAACCTCGTGTAATAGGCCCTATAATTACCCTTATTTTACATAGGACAGTTGAGGTACGGATCATTAAGTGAGTGACCTGGGGTCATCCAACTAAATGGAAGAATCAGGGTTCAATTGTGAGCCAGTTTATGTCATATTCTCGGCCTAGAAACTCCTAGTATGTGACTCTAACTCCCATTATCCCAGACATTCACTGAACATTAATACCCAAGGCTCAAGAGGAAGTGAAACAAATTCAACAAACATGTTGATTCTCTGAAGAGACAGGAAAAAAGAGTTCATCACTTGTTATCAGGGAAACGCAAATCAAAATGACATTAATATCTCACACCAGCGAGAATGACTTGTATCAAAAAGATTGGAAACTACCAGTGTTGGCAGGGATGTGGTGAAAAAGAAACCCTTTTTTTTTACTGTTGGTGGGAGTGTCACTTGGTTCAGTCTCTATGGACAATGGCGTGGGAACTTCTCAACAAAGTAAGAATAGAGCTTCCATATGACCCAGCAGTTCCACTTCTTGACATCTACCCCCAAAACATAAAAGCATTAATTCAAAAAGGTATAAGCACATCTATGTTCACTGAAGCGCTTGGTACAATATCCAGAATGTGGAAAAAACAAAATGTCCAATGGATAAATGGATAAAGAAGTTATGGCATACATACCTAATGGAATATTATGTAGCTATAAGAAAAGATGAAATCTTGTACTTTACTCCAACTGGGAACTGGAGGCTACAATATTAAGTGAAATAAGTCGGAGGGAGAAGGTCGAGAGTGAATGATTTCACTTATCTGTGGTATATAGATAAGCAAAAAGGGGAACCATCCTGACAATATTGACAAAGACAGATTCTTGGCCTTTTTCGCAGGTGGGAGTGGGCATACGTGGGAGTGCTCTGGGCTTACTCCCAAATCTGTGCTCAGGGATCATTCTTAGTGGTGCTTGGGCAGTGAATGCGATGTCGAGTGCCTTCATTCCCGTTCAATCTCGCTGACCCCCAAACCCAAATTATCAAGCAGTGGGATGTGCCGGGGAGGGAGGCAGAAAGAAGAGGAAGTCTAGAGGAGACACGAGAAAGTGGGGGCCTATCCTAAGCACTTTGATGGTGGCAAAGATGTAGTAACCGCGTACCACAAAATTGTGAAATCAACACTATTGCAAAATTGTTATATAAGCCATATAAAAGTTTATTTCCTAGGGCCAGGGAGATAGTACAGTGGGTAGGGCACTTGCCTTGCACGTGGCAGACCAGGGGCCCATCCCAGGCATCCCATAATGGTTCCCTGAACCCACCAGGAGTGATTCCTGGCCGCAGAGCCAGGAGTAAACCCTGAGCATCACTAGGTGTGGGTTTAAAAAATAAAAGTACATTTCCTAGTATAAATTTAATTGTTGTTGAAGAAAATCTAGAAAATACAAGCAAAATAAAACAAACATATGCCAGTTACTAAACTAGATAGTCAACGTATTTTATTGAAATAATTTATATGTATACATAAGAATAGATGGGCTGGAGCGATAGCACAGTGGGTAGGGCGTCTGCCTTGCACGCAACCAACATGGCTGACCCAAGTTCGATTCCTCCACCCCTCTCGGAGAGCCCGGCAAGCTACCGAGAGTATTCGATATGCCAGACACAGTAACAACAAAGTCTCCAATGGAGACGTTACTGGGCCCGCTCGAGCAAGTATAAATTAAAGCAAAATATTTGAAGGAGGCAATGATTTGAATAGCTTGATAGGACAAGGTCTAAGAAGGATAAATTACTTATTCCGGGTGGAAGCAATGATTGAGAGGTGGGAATATGTAGTGTTACTCGGCTCTAGGTTGAGTGAAATTTGAGCCAGAGAGAGTTCAGTGGGTAGTGTGCTTGTTTTGCAGATTGCCAACTGGGGCTCGCTTCCGGCACTCCACATGGTCCCATGAGCACCACCAGGAGTGATCCCTGAGCACAGAGCCAGGAGTCAGCCCTGAGCACAGTTGGGTTTGGCTCAAAAACAAAAACAAAAGAAGAGTACGCTAGGGGGCTGGAGAGAGAGGACAGCAGACAGGGTACTAGCCTTGCCTGTGGCCAACTCAGGTTCCGTCCTTTGCACGGTTTATAATCCCTCGGGCATCACCAGGAGTAATCCCTGAGTACAGGACTAGAAGTAAGCCCGGAGCATAGTCCAAAAGCAAGCAAGCAAGCAAGTAAGCAAAAAAAAAAAAAAGCAAGCAAGTGAACAGACAGACAAAATCAAAACAAACAATAATTTTAGCTTTCCCTTTTCCCTTCCTTTAATTGCTATCATTTTTCAATGATCAGGGGTTGAGCATCCTTTGTTACAATGCTCACCAGGGGCCATGCCCATTCACTCTTTAAATTTTAGGGTGAGGGGCTGGAGCGATAGCACAGCGGGTAGGGCGTTTGCCTTGCACGCAGCCAACATGGCCGACACAGGTTCAATTCCCAGCACCCCATATGGTCCCCTGAGCACTGCCAGGAGCAATTCCTGAGGGCATGAGCCAGGAGTAACCCCTGAGCATCGCCGGGTGTGACCCCAAAGAAAAGGTTTTTTTTTAGGGTGAGAGGTGTACCTGGCAGTGCTCAGGACTGACCCCTGGCTCCGTGCCCAGGGATCACTCCTGGCAGGGCTCAGGGGACCAGATGGGGTGCTGGGATTGAACCTGCGTCATCTGCATGCAAGGTGAGCAGCTTGCTCACTGTACTATTTCTCTGTGTTGTCTTTTTTCTAATTTTTATTAGTGAAACACCATCAGGTACAGTTGTAAATTTACAAATTTTTGTGCTTGGGTTTCAATTATACAATGATCGAACACCCAGCCCGCCACCAGTGCCCAAGACAAAGTCATGAAATTTACATACAAGTGGTACCACATGGAAAGTATCATGTTACTCGAAATGAGTCAGAAAGAGAGGGATAGACATAGAAAGATTGCATTCATCTGGGGAACATAATGTACTATCTCTCTGAATCCTTATTTTCTTCTTTCGCTCTCACCCATCCTGGTTGTAGCGGTGGCCTGGGTGGGACCCCACGCCCAGGCTCCCACTCCCTAGCCATCGTGAATATTTGGTACTTGCCAGCGGTCACACCCAAAGAGTTGAACTACCAGAACCACACTTGGTGCATGCAGGAGGCTCCGAGGTTAAAGTCATGGCCTCATGCTCTCAGGCAAGGTACTTGTAGCCCTCCGAAGGCACTTTTAG